ATTTCGCTCAAAGTAAGTTGGTTCATGCTTCATATATTCCTTTTACTTGGGAGTCCTCTGCGTATGTTATTTTGAAATCTTTCCTTCAGGTCCGGTAGCCAACCACAAATTTGAGTCAAGGTCGCAAGGATTTATATGTATTTTAAAACAACGTTTAATCTGATATATCTTCGCTTAAACTAATTCACTTCACTCCTAGTTAAAATTGCCAAAATGGATGGATACATAAAGTAGATTACATTGGATTGGCAAGATATACTGGAACCAACATAGCGCCGCAAGGTTGGAAACGAGGTTGAACAATGACTGTTTTGCATAAAGTATGTCTTTATTAGCTAAAAACGCAGAGGGTGTTCCCGTTCCCTCTCTATTTCACAGACGACCAGAATCAAGAGTACCGATGGTGCGACAATGCGTACGGCAATCTGTACATCTGCTTGAGAGTGGCTTTGTGTGTCGAGAACACATTCAGCGACATCTCAGTGCCTGACAATTGCCCCAAACCTGTGGCTTTGGTCAGCTATGACTTTCATCCATCCGACGAACAAGAGACAGATCGGAAAATGCTGTATTGCCTGTCCTAGTTTGGCGGTGTTGGTCGAGCAGATCATTGCCATGATGTGGATTCGAAAGGAATTTGTAATGGTCACTTGTAATACATTCAAAGGGATCGAAAAGGAAATAAAACAGGTTCATGTTGACCGATACAAAATTAGTTATATCCTTTTTACAACAATTTTTTTTAGCCAATCGTCATTTGTCATTTCGAATGCACCCTGTCCCAATTATTAGCATTAACAATTGCAATCTGCCATTGGATACTTATCTGATTTACAGTATGAACCAAAACTACAGTTTCATGCTCAGTGTTAATTTAAAGTTATCTTTTTCTTTGTTAGCGTACAAGAAAAAAAAGCGACGCGCAACTCGACACTAAATCATTCAGGCCAAGGTGGTAAATTATTGCACGAACAAATTGCTCTTGATTAAAAGAAAAATAAGTGATACTTAACAATATCAGTAACGACAATATTAAATTTCAGATATGGCTTAATCAATATTTAGTAAACCTTCAAATACAACAAAAGTTTCCACATAAATCTATAAATGTACCTTTTGTGTTTGTATCCGGTACTGGTGTAGTTGGGACCTGGGGGCCTTTTTAAATTTCGCATTAATTTTGGGAACAACGACTGCACATGGGAATTATTTACCGATCGTTGGAATCATGAGAATTCTTCATCATTTCAAAAAGAGTTCACATGTCAACAGAAGGGATTCTGACGAATGACTGGTTAGAACGTCCGAAGCTGAATTGACTCTTTCAATCATTAAGCATATATACAACAGGAAGAAAAACGTGCCGAACCTTACAAAAGTAAAAACAGGATAACGAAACACTGAAAAATTTGTATTTTTCTGCTGAATTTAGAATGAGCTCACCTGCATCAAATTTGCTTCAGAATCTCATTCAGACGTGAAATTTAATAATCTAAATTATTTCAATGATTCACTTGATGGAGGGGCTGATGGATGGATGGGTGCACTGCTTGCCACTTCACATCAGAACTACAGACTCTAATGCAAAACATTCCACTCTCAAAATAGTGAGTCTCTTATAAAACTACTCGAAAAGGGTGAAAAATATTCTTACAAAGTGAAAACCACTCCAAAAGGATGATATTGGTACCATATACATGTACAACTCGAAGAACTGTTCTTCAAGTGGCTCCTCTTTAAAGTGACTTCCATTCCTGCAGGGAGGTGATCCACCCTTTTGGAACGGGTTTCACTTTTTTTAGAAACGATTTTTTTTAATTTGTCTTTAAAGATAGTAGTCCCAACTTCAGGCATTAATACCAAATGGCTTTTCATTATTTGAACAATACAGCATGCAGCTATTATGAGCTTATTGTCCATGTGCACTGACACATAATCCGCCATTTTGATTCCACAAATTGAGACCCTCATGTCGCAACGCTCTCTTAATCAGTTGCTTCACACCATGGGTGTTGTTTATTAAAATGGAGGCGCTGTTGATGAAAGCCGACAGTTAAACGAAGGGTATCTTAACTGTAAGGACGTCTTATTGACAAATGTGGACCCATGATGCGTCCTACCAACGCACAGATGTAGTTGAAACTACCGGAAGTAGAGAGATCCCACGACCTCCTGCTAACTAGTGCAGACGTCTTAACCAATCGACCATCGAGCTTGCCGGGGTCGGCTGGCTGGTTCGAGTCAGGTGAAGCAGCAGGTACCGCAAACTGTTTTCAAAATGTCACGTCAAGATGTCTGCACTAGTAAGCAGGAGGCTCTCAGACAAGCACTGAGCATACAGTGCTTATTAATATACCTACCCACAAGCCTAACGCTAACCCTAACCCTATCTGTAACCCTAACCCCAACCCTATCCATAACCCTAACCCTAACCATAAACCAAACCCTAACCCTACCCCTACCCATAACCCTAACCCAAACCCTATCCCTAACCCTAACCCAACCCTAACCCTAACCCTACCCATAACCCTAACCCTAACCCAACCCTAACCCCAACCCTAACCCTACCCATAACCCTATCCCTATCACTAACCCTACCCCTAACACTAACGCTACCCATAAAATCAACCTTATTCTCAAAACCCTAACCCTAACCCTACCCATAACCCTAACCTTACCTTTAACGCTTACCCCAACCCTAAACCTAATCCTAACCCTACCCATAACCTTAACCCTATCCCTAACCCTAACCCTAAATCTACCCCTAACCCTACCTGTAACCCCAACCCTAACACTACACCTACCCATAACCGTAACCCTATCCCTAAGCCTAACCTTACCCCTAACCCTATCTGTAACCCTAACCTCAACCCTATCCCTAACCCTAACCCCAACCCTAACCTCACCCATAACCCTAACCCTACCCCTAATACGTTGAGTAAGGGCAAAACCCGTTAAATAAATGAACATCTCCCAAACGCAAAAAATACATCTTGAAAAGACAAATTTCGTCGAAATGTGCAATATGTGGCTGCACCATCTCCTCAGGAAAAGGACTGCCCTTTACATTTCAAATGTGTTGTGTGTCATAAAACTTAAACGTTTTTTAATCAAAGCACATAGACTTTACACGTAATACAAAGAAGAATTACTTTAGCTTCATGAGCTTTGTTTTACAAGAGCCACGCGTTCTTTTTTCTTTCCATTCTTGTCTCTGAATGAGTCTGCACCGTTCCAATATCATTCCTCCTTCTCAAAGACAGAGTCTTTCAAGATGTATTTTTGCGTCGGGGAGATGTTAATTATATATAACGGGTTTACCCTTACCCAACGTATATTAATAAGCACTGTATGCAGTGCTTATTAATATACGTTGGGTAAGGGCAAACCCGTTATATATAATTAGAGTCTTTCAACTATCGATGCACAGATGTTCACTTCCGTGTCTATGCATTTATGCATGCTCAAAAAATTGATGGCCGTATAGGGTACATTTTAAATCGACATAAATTATTGTTAGCGCAAACACAGGGTGGCACGTTCAAGGTCGGCCACGTCTGTGTGTGTTTGGGAAAACGTCAGTGCAACTGAAGCGATAAGATTTAGGGTAACTGGCATGCAGTTGGCCTTCTTTAGTTGGGTGTGGTTCTTTTGTGTTTGGTTGGGTGAATGTGGGTGTGTGTGGTAAATATAAAAAGGGCATGTGGGGTGTGACTGGGTCCACTATGTTTAGAGGTCATCGCTGGACACATGTCTACGTCCTTCTTTGCTGCTTGTACTGTGGTGCGTAGAGAGTGCACAGACACTGATGTTTTTTTACACCAAGTCGACCACGGGCAAAATTAGATGCTGTGTATTACAGCTTTGCGAGCGGGTACTCTGCTTGGGCATTCAGGCTCTAATGAACGTTTCCTGGTTAGCTGGTGACAGGGACGGAAGAATTTGCTGCAAAACTGTGAGTTGGATCATTATAATTGCGAGCAGTCTATTTCCTTCGTATTCATCCACTGAGTGGACATATTCTGATATCTACATGTGGTATTTCAGAATCTTACATTACTCGGCTAAATTTTCAGCCAGGGTATTATTAGTGGGTATCGATGAATTTAAAATTCCCCATTCTGAGTGGCTGTCTGACGTGGATCCAGTGGAGGTGTTATCGGTGTCCAGAACTGATTTCTTGAGCTGGACAAAAGGTGAAATAGGACCCCCTCAAATCCCAGCCAGATGGCCCAAGCCACAACTGTATTAAGTGGTACACAGGGGTCACCTTGCAAATAAATGGTACACAGGTGTAATTTTTGTAAATAAACGGATTACAAGTAAGCTTTGGTGAAGAGGTGGTACACGGGTGTATTTTGAAAAGAAGAGGTGTAAAAGTGTAAATGGTGTTTGAGAAAAACTTTACATATTAACAGTGTATGCATGTAAATTTGAATATAGCTTACAGTGATTCTAGTAACAACAAAACTTTGAAGGGTTCAATTCGTTTTAATGTGAACAATAAGGATTGCTTCATTGGTTTTCCACACTTGAGGGAATAAGTTGTTGTCAGTGAGATTTTTAAGTGGCGAGTTCACTAGGAGAGATAAAATCGAGGCCAAGACGAGGATTATATTTGTCACTGATGTTGTCAAATCGTAACAAGCTTTTTTATCAATAAATGAACTGTAAATAGGTAGTTCTTGGAAATTTTCGCGTGTCAATTTATTTGAGTCGACGATACGCTGACACTGTGTCATTCTTTTAAATTAGTTGATATATCATTTCATTGAGCTAAAAACAACCTTAAGCGGCCTTCGAAGTTGCAACTGTCCCCTTGCCATAAATATTTGTGTATCTTGTTACCTTAGTAAATCAGTAAATGCTGAATATGCAAATCCCAGCGTAATGGGCATTCATTAGCATGCGTGCATAATCATGAATTTATGAAAGTAAGGTCTATATGCATGCATCCGGCATGCATTATAGATTCTTATTCCCAGCTGTTACAAGCATAAGGTTCTTACTGGCTGCAGTCTTAGACACCTACACGTATCCAGCAATGAGCAGTGATATGCTGTCTTGGGACAAGATCAGATCACCTCGACAAAGCCTGACTGATACCTGTTTTAGGAATCTTGCGAGACTGGACCCACATATCCACAGTCGCAACAATGCTCAAGAACCTCTTTCTGATTTCGATGCTTCTCTGCACTGTGGAGAGTAATTGGGACGGTGATAACAGTGACCCATCAGCGACATATTTGGTAAGTATTCTCAAGCTTTTGTTTTCCCGACACAGGTCAGCCCAAAATCATACTTTTTCTGTTGCCTGCGCGTAATGCGCTCTGGACCACACGCTAATGAGGTAAAGTCAAGCAAAAGTTCAAGACGACCTGGCATGTGACAGTTGAGGGGGGAGGTGCGGGGGTCGGCCTAATTTCTTTTAGGGTTAAAGGACTTAAGATTTATCAATAATAACAACGGATCAAACAACATTTATAACCCTTTTTGGATTTGGATATAAAGACAAACATGATTTTAAACAGCAGGAAATCCTAGGTATTGATGAACTGCTGCTGGCTTGTATTACAAGGGACAAAGTAGATTTATATATTAAAATATCCAACACAGCAGTTTTCAAAACACTAAAACCCAATACTCAGTTTACTAAATGTACTAAATACTTTAAAAAAAATAAAGTTGAATTTAAGCAATTGAACAAAATTTAGTCAAATATCCTAACAGTATCCTTGGGTGACCCTTCGTAAACTTGTGCCTCCCAATCAATGGGTAATGAAAAAGACAGCTGTTGGAGGGAAGGATAGAACCGGAACGGAATACTCGGAACAAAAATTCGGAAACATGGGAGGTCTTTCCATTTCTGCAGAGAAGAATGTCTCCACTGCAGAAGAATTTACAAGGAAACTCGAAAATTGAAAGATGACGATAAAAGCAAAGCAAATTTAAAAGGTGTGGGTTGGGTAAAGCTTTATCCTTGATATGTGCATGGTAGCACGGCCAGTTTGGACAGTATGATAATTGCAATGAGTACATTACATTTAGTATACTACTATTACTGCGCAAATTGGAGTGCGTGAACAAACAATAAGTCAACTTATGTTGTAATTGTGTGCTTTCGTGACCTTGACAACACAGTTATTAGTTTATAATTCCTGGCTTGCAGCAGGCGCTTAATTAAAAAAAAACAATGTTAAAACGTTGCGTATGCATTCCCAACAGGGATTTTACGCCATCAACATGACGTGCAACGACGATGCAACTATTTGCCAGCACTGTGTGCATGTCCACCTGGATGGGAGACTGTTTACATGTATGTATATACGTTATCATGTCTAAAATACTGCCCGGTTTGTGGTATTCACATCGTCTCATGTACCTACAAATTTCGCTGAATGGATTTTATCACATCACGCTTCTCTCACTATCGACTTGAAGGGCAGCTAGCCAAATAGTTCGTTGAATTGCTCGTTTAACAGAAAGGTTTGTAAGATTGGCAAACCGGAAAATGGGCATTCCATTCTGCCTTTACTACACGACTTATAGCTTTTTAGTGAGTCCTTGCACAGACGTTGTATTCCTTAAAGCACAGATTAAGAATAGAATGTTTGTGTTTGTTCACTTAAGAATACTACGAAATCGGGCAAAATCGAATGTGAATGTCCCTTGTCAGAACATTATCGAACGAGTAACAATGTTTCTTCAATAGAGCGCTGACTTTTATGTACAAAGTGATGCCTGCTAGGCGAATAATCAATATTTGTGCACAAATCTTTATGGAAACATGTGAAACAGTATGAGACGAAAAGAATTCTTTTGAGACGGTGTCAAATTCTTTTTTATGCCTGTATTCTTTTTTACAAAGTTTTCGTGTTTCATTATTTTACCTCGCGCGGACGCCATCGAACTTTTGCATTCTGTTCAAGTTGTTACGTAATAGTTTCCGCGCCGCGCCGTTCCTTTTAGAAAACACTTTAGTTTCGTTTATTTGTCGAATTCACAATAAAATGTCTTTTGTATGCAATGGTTATGGTAATTTACTGTTTCTTTTCACGGTTATCGTTTGTTGGTTCCTTTTTGTGGTTGAAATAGAAGGTATCTAATGTTCGGGTGTAAATGCTTTTCGGGGTTGGTATAAATTGATTGTGTGGAGTGCTAGTGTAGAGTGAGGGAGAACCTTTTGAGCGTTGAGAGTCTCGTATGTCAGTGTGACAAGTCTTTGGGTCGCCGTCACCCTAGCCACCAGGCGAGTGGAAGCAGCCACCGCAGGCAAGAGGCCGGCCAAATGCAAGTTGTTGAGGCCGTGAGCCACTGCATTAGGGGTTAATTCGGGGTACAGTTGTACCGAACCCCTTTGTTCAAGTTACGACGCTCTCCTAATCTGACCAGTCATCACGAGCAGTTGGAAGATTGTCCGACTTCACGATTTCCCCGAATTACCGTAAGTTTCATTTGGTCATGTTTAAAGCAAAACTCATTGACTCTTGCAATTATTTTGAAGCCTTATGTAATTGCGTTACTTTACTTGAATTATGAAGGTAATGGAAATGTTTGTGCTATTTATTGCCAGGTAACCTTCTATGGTATATGCCCAATGGAACAGAGATTTGTAGTTTTCCAGGTTACTTTTAAATTTAATAGATAACCATTTTACCCCGGAGTGGTAACGCAACACCTCACCCCGTGAGATAGACCGTACCAGAAGTGTCGGCAGGGACACGGCAACATCGAGCGGTGACGATCCGCTGCAGCCATGCGCCTAGTACAAGATCATCGTCACCCTCTCCATGGGAAGTTTGTACGCTTTGCCCATTGGACTCAAAGTATGCTTTTAAGTTTTACTTTGCTTATTTTGTGGCCCATTTTGCTTTCCTTATTTGAATTTGAGGCCTGAACATAAACTACAGTGCTTGCTTAATCAACTGGTTTCTTTGGCATTCTGTTGAACTCGTGCAAAGCTGTTTTTTTTAGATATAATTTGTTTGCACTTGAAGAAGTTCATTTTATGCCATAAATTTGTCTTTTATTGATTATTTGTTTACTTTCGCTAAGTTTGATGTTTAGTTTGGGAACAACCAAACGCTGCATTGTGTTTAACGTGCTTTGTGTATGGATACTTGAACTGATTTAAGTTTTGCTAATTATGCAAGACCTATGGATTTAATTTGATTCCTTTGTAAATACTTGTAAATACTTAATTTCATTTCTTTAATAAATTTAT